GTACATTACCAATTTGCTCAAGTTCATTGCGTCATTTTTACCTGGTGAGTGATCATTTCCTTCTGCTTTGATGTTGGCACGTTTCAATGCATCATCCAATGAACACTCCACTCTGGGATATAATTGCTGTAAGAGAATAAGACCATCTTGAATCAAATGTCCACTCGATTTAGTGTTTTTTTTGTGTTCAGCTTACATCGTACATTCTTCGAATATCAATCCAAGTTTTAAAATACGGTAAAATATCGATGTGACTTCGTTGACATTCCATTTGGAGGAAATACTGCAAGTCCCAATTAGACCACGAGCAGAATGCAACATTTGGCCCATTATCAATATTAGATTGTCTTTCGGTTGGCGTTGCAAAGTGTAAGTTCTTTTCAAATTGAATTTTTCGAAGCCAATTCTGGAATTTGGAAAATACTTCGGAGAATATTTCTTGGTCATCGACCATGGATTGAGTCACTCCGGTCAAACTGATGCAGAAGCTACTAAGTTGTGGAAAATTAACTGGCCTCACGTAATTGTGAAATTGATCTTCAATGATACCAGTACTCACATTCAAGAGAACAGCAGCCATTTCTGAAAATGAGCTCTTAAAACGGTTGCAGCAAATTATTGTTTAGGTGAAAAAAAATTACCAATAATTTCAGCATTTATTTTATTAAAACCTTCGGGCCAGCAAGTTGCTTCAAAATTCAAACAAATTAAATACTTGAATGACATTTTTTTTACTTTTCCAATGAGAATTTATGGAACTATGAATTTTTTAGTTTTTTGACGTTGAATTTTTTCGATTAATTTTCATTAAAACTGAACAGAACAATGACTAAATTGTATGATTTGAATCATAGCAACCTCTCGAGATGTATCATGATTATTAGTTTTTCTCAACTAACTTCATAGAATAGAAATGTATCGCAAGAATTTCGATAATACAATTTCGTATTAGAGGTGGATAAATTTAACAAACCCAAAATCTTTTTCAAGAGTGCTGACTGCAAAGATTCCATGTTTTTAAATTTTCAGACAAAAGCGATTCCAGGCCATTGAATAAAACAATACACAAATTAAAAGATTATTCCTTGTTTTCTTTATTTAGAATAGATTAAAAAAAAAATTTAAGACTACAAAATCTCATAAAATCTTCAAATAAAAAAGTATATCGTTTTGTAGCACCATCTATCACCAATCAGTTCATTTAATTATGAAATTCAGACAGAAACAACCACAACCAGTTGCACATTGTTCATTTTTCTGCGAAAAATAAATAAATAAATGTCATGATTAACTTTAAAAATTAAAAACGATTCAATTTTGAACTGATTTCTTGTC